TGATCCTTCTAACTACCGTCCTATCAGTCTCTTACCCCTCTTCGGCAAAGTGTTCGAAACCCTAATCAATACCGAAGTGGTTAACCACCTTACATCCCATGATCTGCTCTCAGACAAGAAATATGGCTTCCGCTTTGCCAGATCTACAGCTGATGTGCTTACGACCATCCCTGAAACTGTCTACCGAGCTCTTCAAAATAACGGGCCGTGGCCCTAGACATCTCCAAAGCGTTTGATAGGATTTGGCATGCCGGCCTTCTTCGCAAACTCCAGGGTTATGGCATTACGGGTCGATTGTTTGACCTAATACAATCATTCCTGTCAAACCGAGAATTGAAGGTCGTTCTCAACGGATTCTCCTCCAGTTCCTATCCCACGAACGCAGGTGTTCCTCAAGGCTCTATCCTAGGCCCCACTCTATTCCTTATCTACATAAATGACCTTCCTGATGCCATAACTTCCCAAGTTGGCATCTACGCGGATGACACCACAATTTATTCCTAGCTCAAAAACAAATCTAGTGTCAGTGACAAAAATAACCTGGCCGTGCGTCTCGAAAAGGACCTCCAATCGATTGTGAACTGGGGCAGGAATTGGCTGGTCAACTTTAATGCTTCAAAAACAAAACTGCTCTCTATTAATCACCACAGATATCCTTCACTGCCCTCCATTAGAATGTCTGACGCACAACTTCTCGAGAGCACCTCTCTGCGGCTGCTCGGTCTCGCGTTGACAGCTGACCTGAGATGGAACAAATACATTGAGTCAATTGCTTCGTCCACAGCAAAGAAAGTTGGCTCCCTGTGCCGCGCCAGGAAATTTTTCTCCCCGGAATCGATCCTCCAGATCTACAAATCAACCATTCGCACTTGCATGGTGTATTGCTGCCATATATGGTCTGGAGCCCCTTCTTTTTGCCTCGGTGTTCTTGATAGGCTCCAGAGGCGGATATGCAATATAATTGGCCATGCTCTGGCATCTCGTCTACAGTCACTTTCTCACAGACGCGCCGTCGCCTCTCTCTGTCTTTTTTACAAATACTTTCATGGCAATTGCTCCGAGGAGCTGCATTCGCTGGTTCCCAGACTTCATGAGTTCAAGCGCCCTACGAGGCTGGCATCCCGCTCTCACCCCTTCACTGTCGAAATTCCTAAATGTAGCCGTCTACTCCAATAGCTTCATACCTCGCACCTCTCGCCTGTGGAACTCGCTTCCCTATTCCAGTTTCCATGTGAGTTATAATTTCAGCTATTCAAATATAATGCCAATCGACATCTCCAGTTGCCGTGATCTATCTACTACCCTTCTCCTCATCCTTTCTTCTATCACTCCTATCTATCCAATTTTCTGTAACCCCTTGCGACCTAGTGGCTTACCGCCTTGCTTGGGGTGAAACACTTAATATATATATATATATATATATATATATATATATATATGTGTGTGTGTGTGTGTGTGTGTGTGTGTGTGTGTCCGATGAGATGAGAACGAAAGTAATATATAAATTCCAAGGTTCACAGGATTAATCCAAAAGAGGGCTCGATGCCAAAATGAGAGCGATAATTATTTATTTCTTATAATTTTATCATATAGACAAAACCATTTTACTCACTGCAAAGATGAAAAAAGAAGTGACGTTTCACACACGGCTTGTCTACAAGCAGAATTGTTCATAACCATTTTAGAATGTCACCGGCGAAGTGCAGTTGAAATTCACTGAAACCAAGTTGCATCTTTGTAGTAAGTAAAATAGTTTTGTTTATATGATAAAATTATAATAAATAAATATATATATATATATATATATATATATATGTATATATATATATATATATATATACGTATGTATATATATACATATATATATATATATATATATATATATATATATATATATATAGATGTGCATATATATATATATATATATATATATATATACATACGTATATATATATACATATATATATATATATATATATATATATATATACAAATATATATGCATGTATATATATGTATGTATGTATATATATATATATATATGCATGTATATATATACATATATATATGTATTTATGTATGTATATATATACATATATATGTATGTATCTATATACATATGTATGTGTCTGTATATATATATATATACATATACAAATATAGGTATGTATACATATATACATATGTATATGCATATAAAGTATATATATATACATATATATATATATATATATATACATATATATATTTGTATGTATGCATATATAAACCTATATATATATATATGAATATGTATATATATATATATATATATATATATATATATATATATAATTGGTTCTGACAAATTATATATATATATATATATATATATATATATATATATATATATATATATTAGTTCTGACAAATTCAATCAGTTTTTTATCGATTAGTCTTACAGGGAATTGCAAGTTATTTATAAGATAGATATTTATTTAGATGCTCACTCACACACATCATGTTTGAGACATGACATATGTTATTATATATAACTGTGCGACAAAACCTAGGGGTCTGGAAGCATATGACAAAAACCTAATAGCAGAAAATTACAGACATTTCGATAAACAAACAACCGTATTTCTAGAGCACATTATTATTATTATTATTGTTGTTGTTGATGTTGTTGATCTGTAGATAGAAAAAAGTTGTTCAGTTAATAGAGAGGCCAAAAGAGATGAAAACTTATACACACACGGACATTAAATCATGTCGGAAATACAACCCTGTACAATGCTGAAGTAATTAATATAGACACCCCCATATATATATATATATATATATATATATATATATATATATATATATATATATATATATATTCTATATCTGTTCTGCACACATAAAGCGAACATAAACAGTCCACACACACATACACAAATATAAGTATATACAAACACACACACACATATATATATATATATATATATATATGTTTATATGTATATTCTATATCTGTTCTGCACACATAAAACGAACATAAACAGTCCACACGCAAACTTACACACATATACGTATATAAAACACACACACACACACACACACACACACAAACACATATATATATGTACATATATATATATATATATATATATATATATATATATATATATATATATATTCTTTTTGCCTATCCATTAATGGAACTATTCCATATTTATCGGTAAATCGATTTCGTGATCTAGAAGCCCAATTCTTTTTTTTTTATTTCAGTCTGACAATTGCTGTCATGCAATTTATGAATGTTCTTATCTCCCCCTACAACTGCAAAAGGAAAAAAAAGCCAAACAAGAACACACATATCTATATCGGAGATGGGGTCTGGACTTAAGTGAATACATACTCTTTTACTCTTACTTACAAAAACAGAATGACATAGATATATTTTCGTCGATGTATTTAGTGATATATTTTGGTCTCTATCTATTGGATGGTAAGAGTGGGTGCATACTGTAGTACTTTACCAGATTTAGTCGCGGAATGCACCATAATATCTGGCAGTAAATAGGCATAAGGGTAGAGAGAGAAAGTAAGAAAGAGGGGAAACAAAACAGATAAATAGGAAAAGAGTGATAAGTAAAAAAAAAGCGAGAAAATGAGATGGAAAGAAAGAGAGCAGGAGGAACGATAATGTAAAAGAGAGGGGATGGAAAAAAGAGAAAGAAAGGAAAAGTGGGAATAGAGAGAGAGAGAGAAAGAAAGAGAGTTAAAGGGGGAAACAGAGAGAGAGAGAGAAAGAAAGAGAGGTAAAATGGAGACAAAATGAGACGGAAAGAAAGAGAGCAGAAAGAACGATAATGTAAAAGAGTAGGAACGGGAAAAAAAGAAAGAAAAAAATGGGGAAAGAGAGAGGGAGAGTTAAAAAGAGGGAACAAAGAGAGAGAGAGAGGGAGAGAGAGGGGTAAAAAGGAGAGAAAATGAGACGGAAAGAAAAAGAGCAGAAAGAACGTCAGAGACAGAGAATGAGAAAAATAGAAAGGAAGAAAACGGGAGAAATATAGAGAAGTGGGGGGAGATAGCGAAATAAAAAAGAGAGAAAATTGAAGTGAAAGAAAGGGAGCAAAACGAAAGAGAGAAAGACGGGGAGAGAGAGAGAAAAGTGAGTAGAATAGAGAAAGACAGATTAAAAAAGAGAGAGCAGAAATAAAAGCAATGTATGAGAGAGGGAATGAGAAAATCAGAAAGAAAAATGTAGGAACAGAGAGAGAGAAGGAAGATAAAAAGAGAGAAAATAAGACGGAAAGAAAGAGAGCAGAAAGAACGACAACGTTAAAGACAGTGAATGAAGGGGGAAAAAAGAGAAAGAAAGCAAAAAGGGGAACAAAAAGAGAGATAAAAGAAAGAAAATGAGACAGAGAGAAAAAAACAACGTTAAAACATTGAATGACAAAGAGTGAGAAAGACAGTGTGAAAGGGATGAAAGCCAGTGAAAGACAATAAGGACACCATAAAAGAGAGAAAAAGTGTTTAAGAAAGAAAGAAAGGGAGAGGGGAAGAAAGATAGAGGAAAAGAGAAAGTCTAAAGCGCTAAAAGGAGAGAAAATAAAGAAAGGGTGAAATGTAAAAAGATAGTGAGATTTTGAAGGAGAGTAAACAAAGCCAAAGAAAGAGAAAACGGAGAAGAAGGAAAGAAATTTAAAGTGAACAGAGAGTGAAAACGGAAAAGAGAAAAGGAAAAAGTATAAAACAATGGAAGAAAGCGCGAAAGAGATACAAGAAGAACGTGAAAAAGAGAAAGAGTTAGAATTATAGAAGGGGAAAGTGCCGAGAGATTTTAAAAAAAAGATAGATAGATAGATAGATAGATAGATAGATAGATAGATAGATTTAAAAAAAAAAAGACAGATAGATAGATAGATAGATAGATAGATAGATAGATAGATAGATAGATTTAAAAAAAAAAAGACAGATAGATAGATTAGATGAATAGATAGATAGAAAAATTTAAAAAAAAAAAC